ACTACCAAATAGATACGGCAAATATTGATGCATATAAATACTCCTTTTTTCCAAGAACGATAACTGATTGGAACAGCCTACCACAAGAATTAACAACAGCAAATACACTAACCTTGTTTGAAAAAAGCATTCTGAACCTTTTTCAATGATATCTATCGAATCCTCAGTATTTCCTATTCACGTATAATCATGAGAATATTGTGATGTTATTGTGTGATGTCTTTGCTTCGTCGCTGTTTGACGATTTATAAATTCAATGTCAAGCGCTATTTTTGTATGTTTGAATTGTTGTTGATACAGTGTCCTTGTTTCTTTTTGTATTTGGTCATATGTATTCTCGTGCCTTGTGCAGCCCTGTAACAACCCTAACGGGTTAACAGTATACCTAAATAAATAATAAAATAAAAAATAAATAAAAGCATGACGCTGAGATCATGCTACACGGAAGGGCGCGCAAGATGCTTGATCCTGCTGCGAGCGGCGAGTCTCCTGGCATGGCTAGTGACGAGCCAAGGAAAGTGGATCTGACGGAACTTGCAGCGTACCACCGGCGCAACGTCGAATCGTGGGTAGTGCTCTTCGAGGGTTAAATCGGAGTAGGACGCACGCCCTCGATGCACCCTGCATTCACAACGCAGTTCTGTCAGTTTCCAGAAGTCTCCAGGAGGAGTATCAGGTGTCGACGGCTACGCGCGCCGCTGCTCGCAGTTCGACCCAATTCGATGGTACGTGCTCGTTGTCCTCCAGAAGTCCTTACAGTGTTTGTCCCGCCACATGTAGTACGCGTATTCTGTCTTGTTTATGAGCTTTAGGAACGCGTTGTTATCACCGGTGGGAACCAAGAGCCACGCTGAAAATATCACGGGACATTTTCACTGTTTTACGTGGTCTTAAAAGTGGAAATATTCGAAATTATGAAAATGAATGAATCATAGTGATCAAAAAAAAAAAAATGTTGTGACTGAAAAACATGGATATGTCGGGGAAGGTTGCCCTAGCTTTTTCATCTTTCGGTGATGTTTTGTTATTCTTGAAATGCGAGAGCCATTCAAAACACTTCACACGACTCGCTGCCTTCTCGCCGTAAGCCTGCTGAATCCTTTCCAAAGTGCCTGTTCCAGATTTGCGGTGCTTGATGCAGAATTGATGTTCGATTTCACTCTGGTTTGTGGCCCATATTGAAATTGACGTCTTTTGGACTGTTCGTTGAAAGAAAATTTATAGCAGGTCAAGTAGTAGAGGGAGTTCGTCACATGGGGCATTTCGCCATAGGAAAATTTGTCCCAGCGACAGTTCGTCAGACTACAGTAGGAACTTTCTCTTTTCGTGCCATTTTTTTTTGCAGAGAGTATTGCTCCCGAATGAAAATCCTCGGGTGAGGCCCCATGGGCACAAATGTTTGAAGTCTCTTATAATAGCTGGTTGAATCGCTATTATTTCTGCAATAGACACAGTCTGACTTCCCGGGACTTTAACTCAATCTAGGTTATGACTCGTCCCGGTAACAAATCAGAAGACAGGGGCCAATATGCAAGGTTGTCAAAAGGAATTTATTTAGAAGTTGTCACTCTACCCTATAGAAACATCTTCTGACACTGCAACGTTTCGGGCGCGCGCCTCGGGGATGTTTTTGCGCCCGGTTCCGTCGTAGCGACGAATAGTTGCTCGAAGGCGCTTGTCCCGTGCTTCTTGCTTTCTTGACACTCTTGTAGAGACTGCTCCGCTTGTGGCTTGGCTGAGTTCCATTTCGACCAGACTCTGCTTTTTCTTGAGCGACTCCAGGAACATCCAAATATTCGTTAATGCACAACCGGCATTGCTCTGCAAACTTAATAAGGACAATTACATAATCACCAATGGAGTATGTACGCAAGGATTGGAGTTAACATAAACATATAATTATAATCAATTACCTGCAGCCCATTTCGCCACGCCTCCAGACTTTTGTCCGTTTGCCGAAGTCAGTCAAGTGTCTTATCATAGACAAATAACAATTTGGGAGGGAACTGTACCGAGCAGGGGCCATTTCGACGTGGTCGTCCGATGTCAGTGTCCTCAAAACAGTCGGCCGCCGCGATCGCCTCCGGAGGAAGGATTTCTAGCAAATATTGGAAGCCTTCAGGAATATTACAGACGGGGAGAAATGCCAGTGGTGGAAGCGCTTTCAACTAGAATGAAAAATTTATCTCACTTGAAGTACACAAAGAAAAGAGCACGATAGTGAGAAGAGTGGAAAAAGTGTCTCAAAAGAAATTAACCTTGACTGCAAACCGCTCGTCGGTGCCGTAGCGTCCTTGAAAACCCGTGACACACAACTTTCGGTGGACTGATTAAGCCAGATGAAAAATACATCCTTGTACACGGATGCCCGATATAACGTCACGAGCGGCGTTTGTGGCTGCGAGTTCGAAGTTCTCATTTATTTATTCATTTCCGGAATACTGCCAGCCCAATCTATAATATTCAAGTTGCATGTACGGTTGCAGGTAGGACACGGTAAAAATATGCAATACGAAATTTCTCATACTAATGATGATACAAATTATCGATTATTTCGTGGATGTTTCCTTACACACAGAATCGTCTAAATTTCTAGCGAAACAATCATATCTAGCAAGGCTTGTCACATGCTGAGGCAAGTCATTCCAATCACGAAGAGGTCTAGAAAGGAATATTTAATTTTTTTTTTCATACTGAATTTCGCGAAGCAAAGTTTGTGTTTCCGCCTTGTGTAATGGCCGTTGTTGTATTTCAGGTAGTCGTTTAAAATTAACCCAATCTTATCCCGTATTGGATTATACAAAAAATTCAAGCGCTTCACTTTTCTTCCTTATAATAACTGTGGTAATGCAGACGAAACACACAAGGTTGATATGGGGGTTTCCCTGTCGTATGCGTTAATGGAATAGGAGAACCTTTTCTAAACGCCTTCCAATTGATCAATGGATGTCTGACAATGCCGGTCTCATAAAATATCTTTATAGTCCAATAGTGGAGGAATAAAAAAAGTGTAATCCACGAGCTTCTTTTTTTTTTTGCTGTACAGTGACATATATTCCTTCGTAAAGACCGTAGTTTACGGGAAGCATTCGCTATACCATTCACAAAATGAGCAGACCGACTTTAGTTCGGCGTAATGGTTACTTCTTACTACTTATTTGATGTGACCATTTCCAAAGGAACTCAGTTTATAACAAAGTGAACTACAAGTGGAGACCTCTTTAGTATTAGTGTCATTTAAACGCATTTCTCTTTATTTAAATCAATTTCGTAATTTTCGCTCCAGGAAAATACCTTGTGCAGACTGTCATTTAAACGTTCCTGATCGACAATACAGGATACCTCAGAGAACAAAACACAATCGTCAGCAAAAAATACGACACTGTATTAATGGGTTGACCACCCGCAGGTTATTCATAAACACTGAAAAGGCCAAAAAGACCAAGTACTTAACACTGGGGCACTCCTGAAAGAACAGGCAGTTCTATTAACTCTGCCTTACCAACATTCAGATACTGCTGACGGTCTGTAAGGTAAAAGTCGATTAACCTTAATAAACAGGTATTTTCCGGCACCTGCTCAAGTTCATACAGTAATTTACAATACGAGACGCTGACAAAAGCCTTCACGAAGTAAAAAAATAGCAGCCGCCTGACCATCATTATCCACTACGGTAGCAAATTCATGGAACCTGTGAAGAAGCTGGACCACGCGGAAGGAGCAGGACACTAAATGGTCGATGAGGACTGAGAAGAGCCTGGTGAAGTAATGAGCATGATTTGTACGGCCATATGGTTAACGTTCGATCCACTGTTATTAAAGTAAAAATCGAGTCACGTACCAGCGGTATGTGTCCTCGGTTTTGTTGGGAAGCAGACCCCACGCCATGGGAACGGCAATCCCTTCTTCAGCGCGCGAGGGGTCTTTATGGTCCCAATATAATTTTGAAGAGCAACGTCGCTTGGGTATCACCACATTCCTAGATGTTCCTAGAGTCGCTGAAGAAAGAGCAGGCACTGGTCGAAATGAAGTTAAGCCAAACCGCAAGCGGAGTCGTCTCAACAAGAGTGTCGAGGAATCAAGCACGGGAAAAGCACCCTTCAACCAATTCTTCGACGCTATGACATAACCGACAGCGCAGACATCCTTTAGGCGTACGGCCGAAACATTTCACTACGAATAGATGTATCTCTACTGTGAAGTTACTATATCTGAATAAATTCCTTTTGACAAACTTTTATATTTGCCGGCGTCTTCCGACTACTTTTTGGGACGACTCGTACCCGGATTGTGTTGGAGTCCCCGAAAATCAAACAATTCCTATTGCAAAAAAAAAAAAAAAAAAAAAAAAAAAAAAAAAGTCACAGCGATTTAACCAGCTAATACAAGAGACTTTAAACAGTTGTGTCATAGGGCCTTACTCGAGAATTTTAATTTCGGTGTTCTATGCTCGGCAGTAACAAAACTGGCACGAATAAACAAAGTCCTTTCAATGGTCTGACGAACTGTCAGCGCCACCGATTGCCCTATGACGGACGACCCTACGAACTGCCCTGGTACCAATTGACCTGCTACGAATAGTCTTTCGACGGACGGCCTTTAGCCCGAACTTGCTATTGTGCTCGTGCACACGGTTGAAAGTACTCCCGTAGGGAAGCTTTGTTTGTTCAGAGAACCACGCCCTTCGACATAACGACGCACGTATGTCCGTCCCTACTACTGCTGCCGATGCACCACCATTATGCGTTCTTTTTTTTTTTTTACGCCACAAAAACTAGTCTCGTAAAGCTCTGATCGCACCTAGTATATTTTTTCGTTCTATTTGATGTGCCACTTCTAGTACGCTTGCCGTTCATGCTAGGACGACGATGCGTGCATTTGGTGTTCTTTCTGGATAAAATTTCTCCCTGAACGAGGAAGCGTTTCCAAATAAATAAATAAACAAAAATATACCCTGGCAACACAAAACCTGCCGACGACGTGCCTGTTGCTTCATGCAGAGGACGGATGGTACGTTGCGGCTGTGTTTCCGCCGGGCACGTGGACCGTCCAGAAACCTGCTGTCCTTCAGCGGATAACCCCGGGTCCATTCTGCTTCACCGGCTGGTACCACGTCTCGGGCCTTCGGTCCCCCGTGCTGACATTCGCGGCGACTGCCCTGACGAGGCGAGGTGCCTCGTACTCGACCGAAGACACGGTGTTCCTAAAGGCGGACTTCTCTCAGACTCGGCTGTGGCAGAAGGTGGTCTACGAGGAGGACCGTAGCGGCAACGTAACGGTGACTAAAAGTTTTGTCGATAGCCTCGGTTTCGATGCCGTACCAATGAGAGCGTGATGCAGAACTCGTAACCAAAGTTTCGCTGCAAGGAGTTAGCAGACATTTTAGTTTTGGAGAAAAAAAATAAATGTTACCTTCGACTGCTAGTTGTGCTAGTTGGTACTCATGAATAATGGGAAATACGCAAAAAATAAATAAAATGAATACGAGGACCAAGAAGAGAGGCATTCAGGACAGGCCTTCTGGGGTTTGTTTAATCTATATGCATCATATATGTGCGTGTGCGGTTTTAATATTTTTATCTGTGTGTTTTATTAGAGCTCAGTTGCAATACTGCCTGCCCTGTGTGCGTATCTTCTCTGTCCTCGTTTTTTGACGTATTTCCCATCATGTTACTTCCGATTTCGGCCGTTATTTTCTGGAACATTAGGCCAGTAGTTCTCAGCCACTGGTGTTTCGGGGACCCGTTCTGGATTAGCAGAAGTGATGGGGGACCCCATTTACCGGGGGGGGGGGGGATGAAGGAGGGGGTACTGGGTGATTACAATGGCAGAGGGGTAAATAAAAAATACAAAAGGCGTTTTCCGCGAACACTCATTTGAGGACTACTGCATTAGGCACGTACTGTTGCAAAAAAGTAGCGTTCTTCAATGCCGGACTATAAAATTCATGACGTTGCGTAATTAGGTAAAGGAGGATGGGAATTACTTTCATACAGGCTTAGCGAAAAGAAAGTATTGTATTTTCCAATTAATAAATAAATTTAGTTTTCTTCAAAACTTTCTTACACAATACATATACTATAACGATGCGACTTATACGCATTTTTTTTTTAACTGCGGAAGCATCTTCAGAAAGCCATCAATCTTCAGGTGAAGCATCCTCAGAAGCTTCTGTACGTAATAACGAGGCAATAATAATAATTATTGTGCTGCATGCAAGCGTAGACAGCGTGAAATCAATCAGCCCCAATGCGAAGCTCCTTTCTCTGCCGTAGATGAGAAATCTAGCCAGTGCAGTACCACAGCCAGCCTGGGGTTCTTAACGTGCATCGCGTAGTAGCGGTGCATGACCTCACGCAGGTGCGATGCCTTTTAAGATCGAAACCGGCAGGGTTAGGCATTGAACCGAGGACCCCTGGGTTCTGCAGCGCGAGCCTTCGCCACACGTATTCCGAGCTGCCGTGTGCTAAAAAACAAAAGACAAACAATGGACGTATTTACCCAGATCATTCCTAAGCTGCTTATAGTTTGTAGTGCGGGCTTCTTTATTAATGAGGCAGAATTGTGTGGACTACAACGTGGGTCCGCGAACATTTTGTCTATATACACATTAATTTGGTGCCTATTAATGATATATCACTGTGTCATTATTTGCGCAGATTTTCATCAGTTCCTCGAATGCCCTCAACAGCCTTGTCGGGCTGGATGACCTGTCTATTGTACCAGGAAAATGCCCACCAGGTAAACTTTATTGGCTCATTTCCTCTCTATAGCTTTTTTCGCAAGCTTCCCTTAGTCGCTCATCCAAGGGCCGAGTTTATTTCACAATGGCTCACAGTTTTCGTGGTAACTCAATACCCCGTCAGTGTGCTTTCTAGTTGAGTACGCTTAATGTAAAGAATTCTCCCTAAAAGTATTTCAAGTTTGACGACCCTAAAATAATCTGACAGATTTTCAATATCTTTATTTGATCGAGAGGTTAAAATTAGTTGTCACAAAAATGTATTCTGTAGTAGGCTTTTGTTTCTGTGAAAGTAAAATATTCGATTATGGAACAACGACGACGACGACGATTGGAACAGGAAGAACCATTTTCTGATGCTCCTCCTGTAAGTTTGAATTTTTTTGATTTTCGCTAATTTTCTCGTCATGGAGGTTCCTATTGCAAAAGGACGCGTCAGCCAGTGCTCCACGAAAAGATCAATGCGGATCCTGTGCAGCTCGCTTCTACCCAAAGCAGCAATACCTTGTCTGCTCTGCTGGCTGCGACAGAGAATTCCACTGCAGATGCTTAAACGTCGGCCTCGAAGAATACAATATCTTCATGAAATCTGGAACCAGCACCTTTAAATGCACGGGTTGTACCCGGCGGCACAGTAAGTCACCAAAAGTCCAGGTTGACCAACCAGATACGCCAAATGACAACTTGACGGACGCTTCCACGGGTGAGCCAGCGGCAGCACAGGATGACCTTTACGTCCCCGCCGGTTTGCTGCGCGTGATCGACAGTATGACAAGAAAAATGGATATCCTGACCGCCGAGTTCAAATGCCTCAGAGCTGAAAACCAACACCTTCGCTCCGAAGTGCAGCAACTCCGGAAGAACGTAGTGGATCGTCTCCCATTCCCGTCTTCACCGCCTCAACTTTATGCTACTACTGCCGCCCCGACATCCCGCGTGCCTCTGGCGGCAAGCAAGGCGTCGTTTGCACCACCCGCCCTTGCACACTCGAACAACCGGCCTTATCTTCCACGCTCGAACTTGACACCTCTCGAGGAACCTGGCCTTCTTCCACCACCGTCAGGTTCTCGTAGTAGGGATGATCCGCATCCCGTGAGCTTGACGAATGACGGCTTCACAGAGGTCAAGCCTCGACGACGTTCCAAGCCTTCTAGTGGCACTGCTAAATCAGACACTGTGCAGGCTGTTGCTAGGCCCCAGCGCCGAATGGCACTTTTTGTATCTCGACTTCGACCGGATACGTCGGTTGCCGATGTCTAGGCGCTTGTCGAGCCGTTCCTAGGCGGGAAGTCAATTGTCTGTTCCAAAATGGTAATTCGATTTCCCTCGTATTCTTCCTTTCATTTGTCTTGTGAGCAGGCCGTGTTTGACGCCATTAACAAACCGGAAGTTTGGCCGGAGGGCAGCATTTTCCACCAGTTCTTTGGCCAGCTTGACCATGCTCGTACTTATCCCCTCGAAACGACATCAGATGTAAATGTCGGAAGTGCTTAGTATTTTTTACCAAAATGTTCGAGGACTTCGCACAAAGGCTGATGAGTTTATGTCTAATCTTATTACTGCAGACTTTGACGTTATTTGTTTATCGGAAACGTGGCTCTGCGATGGCTTCCGAATTCAAATTAATTCACACCCAGCTACAATGTCTACCGCCACGACAGAGACTACATAAGCACGGGGCAAAAGCTAGGTGGTAGCGTATTGATTGCGCTTCACTCTTCGCTTGAGTCACATCGAAGGTTCGACCTACAATCGTATTCAGAATGCTTATGGATAGAAATTAAAACTGCGGATGGTTTTAATTACCTTGTTAGAAACTACTATTTTCCACCACTATGCGATCCTTCAATTTTTATCAAACATCTTGAAACGCTGGAACAACAAGTAAACTTCGATAGGTACAGAGTTCAAATGTACGGGGACTTTAACCTTCCGGAATTAGATTGGTCATTGGACGTTATAAACGGTGGCGACTTAATCACATCAAAAAAGGCAGCTGGGTTGTTATCGTTTATACATTTTTGTGGGCTGAATCAGCTTAACAGTTTCAAAAACTCCGCTGGTAATGTTCTTGACCTAGTGTTATCAAATAATCCAATCGAATCAATTAATACTGTTCCGATCCCTCTAGTACAAATGGATATATATCATCCAGCACTCAATGTGCAAATACGGCTGCCAAGAAAGTTTCAAGCATTGAACAGACCCTCCGCCTACTGTTACCCCAAAGGAGATTATTTGGGAATGTATAAATACCTTCATAATTATAACTGGAGCGCTGTTCTTGCTGTTCCAAAACGCAATACTCAACTTTCCAAATACCCGGACTGGTTTTCTCATGATTTAAAAATGTACCTTAAGAAAAAAGATCATTTTCATAGACTTTTCAAAAAAACAAGGCTCTAGCTTCTGGTACACTCAATTTAGTATTTATCGTTCACTCGTCAAAAAATTGTACTCGCGCGATAAACAGTTACATCTTGATGATGTCGAGCGCAGTCTGAACCGCCGCCCCGAAATTTTCTGGAAGTTTGCAAAGCAGCACACTCGTAACAATTCACATGAAATTTCACTGCGGGATTGTTCTACCGGAAACACTACGTATTTTTCGTCCCCACCAGAGGTGGCAGACCGTTTTGCAGACTATTTTAGTCAATGCTATACAGTAGGTCAGTCAACTATTCAGCCTATTGACATAAAAGTAAACTGCTCCTTTTTACATTTCGCTGCACCAATTGTTACCAACAGGGGACAGGTAGATGCCATTTATTTTGACATGTCTAAAGCATTTGATAAAGTTGATCATGAACTATTGCTCCACAAATTATCGTTATACCGTTGTTGTTCTGAACTACTTCGCTGGTTTCAAAGCTACTTGTCATGTCGTACGAATCATGTTCGAATTTCTAGTGTCCCTTCCAAACTATTTTACTCAACTTCAGGTGTCCCCCAGGGGTCTATTCTTGGGCCTCTTTTGTTTCGGATATTTGTTAATGACATAACCTCATGTGTAAAAAAAGCTGAGCTTCTACTCTTTGCGGATGATATTAAGATTTTTATGCGTGTTGCTATTCCTCTTGATTGTAATGCTCTTCAGCACGAAGTGAACAACATACTGCAATGGTCTTTGGCGAATAATTTACTCCTAAATCCTTCCAAAACTAAGGTTCTTTCTTTAAGCAGAAGACGCACTGTTATGCATTTTACCTACTCTCTGGGAGGAACTCCAATCGAACGCGTGACTGTGATGAAAGATCTCGGTGTGTGCCTTGATAGCACATTGTCATTTAATGCTCATGTTTCCTTTATTGTTGGCCGTGCGATGAAAACTCTTGGTATCATATCTCGTATAACTAAAACGTTCAGACGCCCTGCTTGTATGATTCGTTTATTTTGCGCTTTAGTTCGTTCACGGCTTGAATTTGCCTGTGTTGTTTGGAATTCTCTAACAAGTACAGAGTCTTTAAGTATTGAATCAGTGCAAAAAAAAAAATGATACGCATTCTATATGATAGACACGTTCAGCGTCGCTTTTATTATGATTATGAATTCCTTCTTAAGAGCGTTTTACTTAAGTCTCTGTCAAATAGAAGATTTGAGCGTGATCGGATTTTTTTGCACAGGGTGGTAAATGGTTGGACTGATGCTAACCAACTTTTGAATTCTGTCGATTTTCATGTTCCTTGTCGCGTTACCAGAAATTGTACTGTCTTTTATACTAAATTCATGTCTAAACTCTCACCACTGTCCCGTATGCAAGTTTCATTTAATACAATCGCATCGTCTAGCTTGGACATCTTCACAGATCTCGTAGTTTTTCGCCGGAACTTGGGAAGTCTAGTTAAAAGTTGATACTATTACATTTTGTGTGAAGTGTGCTACCTATTTGTTGTCATGCTAATTTGTACATTTTAAGCTGTGCGTTTGCCGTGTTTCTTCTTTTGTTTTGTGTGCGCCAATATGAAGACCCGCGTGGTTGTTTTTGGGCACATTAAATAAACAAATTATTATTATTATTATTATTATCTTTTTTATGATCTCAAAGTCGTGGTTTTGTTTTTGACAGGTTGATGCGACAAAGGTTTGGTCTGCTCTATCTGAGTTGTATAACTTGGATTTTTTTTAATAATATAATTATTGGGTCTGGGAGCCAACGTAAAATGAATGCCTTCTTAATTTAAAGTTTTGCCTTTTGCAGCCAATCATGATGGATCGTGCACTTTCGACTATAAGGACCAATGTGGCTATACCAGTTCTAGCCCCAAGGGCTCGTGGCACCTCAAGACACGGTATTTAATTCCCCAAAAGGGCATGGCCCTAGACGATCACACAACCGGAACACCCGTTGGTGAGCCGCAATCAACTTTTCTGCGCCTCAATAAGAATGTTAAGCCATCAGGTTTCAGCTAGCTAAAATATCGGTCGGTGGCAGAACCATCGTGTTGTGGGAAAAAAATATGGCGGTGAAACCCTGATGTCATCTATGTGAGCTCTGAGAGTTTGAGTGTCAAGCACAAAATTTGTAACACCGCTGTTTAACACCAGTGTTAGAAGCTCTATAGGTTTAACACCAAGGTTTGGCAACTTTGAAAAAAGAGTTTGGGAGGCTCGGCGGGGCGCCCTTGCTCTTAGGTTCTCGCTCGAAGCTTTTCTAAAAAGGAGCGAGTTCCCGTTTTTTTTAGCTGTGCTTTATTCTTCTGGAGGAGGTCACAGGTTTTTAATTGCCCAACCGCTGAGTGCGATGGCTGGACCATGGCCTTACGGTACTTCTCGATATAAGAGTGGCTTTATTGGCCGCATACAACAATACTGAGCCTGGAGCGCGTGCCCAACTGGTGTGTTTGGTGTCCAAAAATGGGGTTTTTCAATTTCCACCCAGTGATAAAATAAACGTGTCACGTGGTTACCCGCCATGATTTTGGCGGTCTCAGAGCAGCGGTGGTGCCTGTGGCAGACGCCCGCTTTGCTGCGGGTCACTTTCCAGCTTGACGATCCACGGTAGTTTCGGCAGCCAGGAGTTGGAACGCTGCTACGATACCGAACTCCTGCGTTTGTTTACACTTTTTGCCGAGACTCCAAGCCAGGTGGGTAAAAACGGGAGCAGAATGCGTAAAATCCTGAGCGCTGACATCAATAATCTCGAGGAAAAAATAAATGAAAAAGAGAGTGACAAAAAGTGGAGAAAGGAAGCAGACTATAAGTTAGGCAGGTTCGTTTTACAAGGGGTGTTTTCTTCGTTCCTCGTGTACAGCACATCCCCCTTACCCCCCTCCCTCCAAAAAAAACAACAACAAAAAACAACACATACAGCGCTTTTTGTTACTAAAAAATAAGCTGTGCTAGGCCTCACTCTCCAGCCGAATGTAGCTCTAGCGGTCCAAACTACTTGCCAAAGTTTCAGAACTAACCGTCATATTATTACAAAAGTTATAAGGGATTTTGTGACAATTTCGGTGGCAGCATTCAGCTCCAAGTATTGAAGAGCTCTATCGGCCACCACTTACGGTTAGTTTTGAAACTTTCTAATCTGGTTCCGACTGCCAGCGCTACGTTTGGACGGACAATGAGCGATGTAAGGTGAATAATTTATTTTTCCGATAAAAATAACCGCGTAATATTTTTTTTGACACCTCGCATATTAGGGTGCTGCCGGCGATATGGACGCATTGGGACCACCCACTGGGACCACTGATGACCGCGTCATAAAGCGGCCGTAATCCGAGAGATTGTTTCTTCAAGTTTAATACATTAACTCTACGCTCTTAGCACTAGCCGCCAGGATCGCCACCACGCCGTGTCGGCTTTTTTGACATCATCTGTAGCCACTTTGGGACCATCTTTGACGCGTGGGTGGGATATAAGACGCTCACCTTGGGACGAAGGTGAATGCAATCATCAGTCAGGTTATTGTATTCACCTTCTGTCCCCAGCCCCCTTGACAGTCGTGTAAAAAAAAAACAACAATAAAAACATGCCAGTCGGATGCGCGTTCCAGGCACCGTAATGTAGCCAACTCTACGGCACCCTTCCCGTAAGTTTTCCGCTTTTGCCTCCGGCTTATAAACATTCCAAAACATCTCTATGTCGACCCAGGGTCGTGACAACGCGGAGCGCGAGTTGGTCTGCTTCCTGCGCAGGGGGTTGCGCCGAGGTCGGAACGTCGAGCCCTGATTGGCTCCGATTGGATGGATAGCGGGTAGACCTCGATGCTATAGCTGCCTCGAGGTCTACCGGCTATCCTTCCAATCCGAGCCAATCGGAGCTCGGCGTTCTGACGTCACCGCCACCCCGTGTGCAAGAATCAGACGAACTCGCGCTCTCCATACGTGATCGTGCTGATAAACACCCTGGAGCACCCAATGCGGCCCGCACAGACCAACGTTGCTGTTGCATCCGACTGCCACTGCGTCGACCCCGGTTCGAGCCCCGCCAGGGAGCGCAAACTTTACGTATCAACTGCATACACAATCTTAACGTCTGCAAAGCTTTCAGGGTGTCACTTGTTCGTGACGCTCGTTATTATGACGCTCATTCGTGAGGATTTTCTCATAGAAAAAGCCGCATGAAATACGTCTCGCTTTGATATTGATGCTCCAATTCTGGCTCACGATGTGCTTTTACGGTGCCGCATTGCTACCGCTAATGCGGGGGAGAGAGCCCATTACACTGCATAATCAACCCTTTTTAAAACCCCATCAAGTAACCTTGAAGGTAGGAAAGTTTGGGGCACGATGACTGTGATTTGTTCCGAGTGGTCGCCGAACGCTGACCCGACCCTCGTGGCCAATAGGCGTTCAGAGCGTGTGCCCCGGAAACGGCGGTCTCGGATAATTGGCGCAACAGCTGCTAGATGGCGCGCACATATGAAAAGGGTGGATTGAAAGGGTTTTCTTTTTCTGGGGAGAAAGGGAGCGTGTTGGTGAAGGTAGGAATCAACGAATGATTGAAACGGACCACGCAACAAAGAACAGGCAGGCGAGAAACGATCCTTGTTCCTCGCCTGTTCCACTTGCGCCTTTCTTTGTGCATTATATTCTTTTGTCTAATGCGAATAAAAACTCTTTTTTTTTTTTTTAAGCGCGTATAACACGAAACGAAGGTGGTAAATGCATGCTACATTCAACTTTCGTGAAACGTATACTAATTAGTGTATGTTATTAGTGTTATTTGTCTCCCATACTCTTCTTTTTCACATAAAATAAAAGTTTGCACACTGACCATCAAAACAATTAATCCAGTGAGGCAGAATGCCAGTAATGCGTTAGTGCCAAAACTAAGCGTTCTCTTAAAGGGGAGACACTCGTAAGAAAACTGCCATTTAAAAGTCTCTGCGTAACTTTTTTTCTTCATTCTTTTTGACAATTAGTTTTTCTGGATGCATAAACTTACAAACAAATAAAAGCTTGCCATTGTGGCAAGGGCTCTCCAGAACATACAGCCCCGTCTTTTTATAATGCAGCCCATTGCTATCGATTCCTCGCTATGTTGACAGACTATTTTGTAACGAAATTGCTTGTTTGATGTGCGAATTTTTGTCTCATTATTTTGTGACCTGATTTTTGGGGAATCGAAAGTGTCCTTATTAACCAGGCATGACTATACTTTAAAATAATGGTGTGAACTCTCCTAGGTTTTCACCTAGCACTGTACACAGGGTATGTTCTGGCGCCCTTTGGGCGTAAAATAATTCATATACTAAATAGACCAGTGAAAGAAGGGCAGTGAAACTTTTCACAAACATGTCAAACGTGTCAAACGCAAATTTCATCAGTGTGTGTTTCAGGAAAAGGAGCATACCTAGAGAACTCATTTGTTTTCCCTATACACAAGGAGGAAAACGGAATTAAGCCTTCCAGTTGCCGCTACTACACACATATGGCGCAACACACGCTCGTTATCTTCTGGATCTGCTTTCGGGTGTTGATCTCAAAGAAGCTTCACGTTGAGCCATCTGTCTGCAGTAGCGTCAAGCAATTAATTTCTACCGGATTCCTCCCTGTTGACGAAAAAAAAAAATTTGGCGACAAACATAAAAAAAAAACGCGGGCTGATTGGTGAACAAACTGTACTATTAAAAAGCACAAAACCAAAAACAAAAGCAAAAAAAAAAAGTGCATACATTGTTTGAGGCTGTGTGTGTACTTGTGTTCTTTTAACACCAAATGTGCTATGTGGCCAGCACCTTACCATGTCCAGTTAGGGGCCAGCGACCGACGTCGACGGGCCCACTCCCAGTCCTAGCCGACGCGCCGCTCATCTCACCGTTTGGACCACGGTTTGGACACCAGCGCCAGCCGAACCTCTTCCTCGTGTGCCGCTGTCTAAATGCCGCAATGGGAAAGAAAATGTCCGGGCTTACCCAGAGAAAAGAAGCAAAAGAGAGCGTAAAAAAAACAGACTTTTTTTTAACGCAACGGCTTGAGGTAGTTCAGAGTGTTTGGTTCTTTTTTGCCACAAGCTGGTGCCAGGACCGCTTGCTTGATGCGCCACGTTCCAAGTCTGTTTTCCGCACGCTTTGTGTACTGCGCCACACACTCCAGCGGGCTCCGAGAAAGTCGCATTTACACCGCAGCCGCGGAAGACGACGTCCACAAGGAAAACATCCACGGAGCCCTCACGCGCTTACTTTTGCAATACATATGGGCGCTTCGTGCCATCCAGTCTCCACATGTGTACACAGTCCCTGCACACTGACACATTCCATCTGTGTTACGACTGCCTCCTTTGCTATGCCAGTACGGAAAGAAAGCAACTTCCTTCAATCTGTTCCCAGTCTCGAGTTTTGTTTTCTCATTTTGCAGTGTTTTTTCATGTTTACATTTAGTTTTCTGAGACATACACCCATAAAATTTGAATTAGATAAATGGACCCCCTAAAGGCGCCTTTGTCAAAAGCTTAATTGGACTCCTTTCAATGTTCCGTTTAGAAACCTTTTTTTTTACGTCTGAATAGGATTTGGAAGCACTTTGTAAAACGAGGCCTGACCGCCGTCTTGCAGGTGGCTATATGTATCACAGAGTGGACGCCTACAAAACGACATCTGCCGAGTTGACGTCGCCGCCGCTGGCCAAACCTGCGAAGCCGACGCGTTGCCTGAGGTTCTTCTACTACGCTGTCAGAGGTTCGAGTGGACTCGAGGTTTCGGTGGAGTTCCAGAGAGGTGTTTCGGGCCTCTCTAACAACTTCAGAAACCTCCGAAATGGTAGGCTGGTCTTCAAATGCATCAGCATTCCTGCGCAAACTCTCCACATTATTTGTATTCGTCTTCGCGCAGTAGCCGATGGAGCAAGGGGCATGCATTTTCTATACGGGGTGTTTAATTTTCAATCAAGTAGAAGAGAAGCCGTGGACGGCGTACTATTGTGGTCCGTTCAGGTAGTTGTACAATCAGGGGGACATAATGAAGGGAGCTAATTGTCAAAATAAGTCAGATAATTCGGTAAAATGGGTTAGTCAAATTCTTAATCAGTGAAAATAAACACATGGTTTTAATTACAAACTTGTTGAGCATCTTTGCAATTCACTAAAGTATGGTCGATTCTAGAAATACCTAAATCACGTGAGAGGTGGGGAACGTGCGTTTAAATTACCACTCGTGCAACAAGCGCAAAGCTTGCGGTGTCAAAAACGCGGGCGATAAGATCATCGCATATTCGCACCACTCGGTAACTTCAGTGTACCCCTGCGATTAATAAATGCTTTAACTCATTCTAATATTTACTAAATTATGGCGGGGGCGGGGGGGCTGGGGTGAATAAAGCGTTTGCACGTGGAAAGATTCCCATGTAGTCGAAATTATTTTCCGGTGCTCACCCGAGGCGTGTCGGGCAACTTTTGTCGGGTTGGCGCTAAGAAACCCATAAATTTGATTTGATATGAATGAGTATCACTGAGTGCTCGTGCGCATTGTTTTGCCTGTGCTTTTTTATGACAACCAAACCGGTTGTGCTGACGTGCTCTAGCTTCTTCAAGTTTTTTGGACTTACAAAAAGCGTTTGATACTGTGCTTTTTTTTTTTTTTTCAAGAGTTTTTTTGGACTTACAAAAAGCGTTTGATACTGTGCAGCACAATATTCCATTGAAAAAACTTGAAATCTACGGTGTACGAGGAGTTGAACTAAGACTAATAAAAATGTATCTTTCAGATCGTTATCAATATGTATCTATAAATGACCATTCATCTAATAAATTGAAAATACGACATGGTGTTCCTCAAGGCTCTATTTTAGGCCCTCTGTTATTTCTCGTGTACATTAATGACATTACGACAATACCAGGTTCCCCTGAACTAATAATGTATGCCGACGACACAAATATATTCTTTGCTGGTGCGACGAAAAAGTGCGTCGAGAAGTTGGCTAATGAATATCTTTCAAAATTATCAATATGGTTGCAAACAAATCGTCTACAATTAAATACAAAAAAGACTAAGTATATCATTTTTAAACCAGCAAATAAGCAAGACTATAGTTCCATTAAAGTAATATACGAAGGCACAACATTGGAGCAGGTAGCAGAACAAAAATTTTTGGGCGTCTGGTTTGCTGAGGATCTATCATGGAATTGCCATGTAAACAAACTAAAGGCTGATTTATCCCGGGTAACAGGATGCATTTATAGAATACAAAATTTGATACCGACCTGGTTAAAACACACATTGTATTATTCCTTATTCTACTCCAAAATTTGTTATGGTATTCTGGTCTGGGGAACGACGACGGCGGCGAATTATAATAAAATTATCCTTTTGCAAAAAAAAAATCTTACGAATGTGTGAAAATTATAAAGGGGATGCCAGAAATTTAAGAACACAACCACTCTTCATCAAATATAATATTCTTAAGGCAGATCAAATATATTACTTCAAACTTTTACTGTGGATACATAAAAATCGACTTTACACCACACCAGTGAACAGCCTTAGTGCATATCCGATTAGAAATCCGAAGCGAAGGATGCCGGCCATAAGAACCAACTATGGTCAACAAACTTTCATTTTTCAAACAACTAAAACTCTAAATAGAACGGACTTCAACATTAACTTTAACAACACGTTACCTGGTTTTAAAAGGGATTGTAGAAGTTTTCTGGTTGGCAGTGAAATCGCATTCTCATTTGGATAGTGTATTTCACCAAGAATGCAATCACTAGATATAGCTAATTTCAAAGATTTGTTTTCATTGTATTCCTTCATGAGAACTTGCTTGTGATGCTGATATGTCGGAGGAGCACAAGATTGTATTCTAGTTTTTTGTTGTTACTGTTTGTTGTTACTGTTTTTGGTTTCTTACGACCAACACTCGTTTCTAGAGTTTTTTTAGCAAATGAATATAGTGTCTATTTTTCCTGTTTCTTTGACTTGTTTCTCTTGTTTTATTTTACCTGTATGATGTTTTGCAGAATCTGTTATTATGTAACTACTTTGAGCTGCTGGACGTTAGGGGGCAGAGGCTTTGTCAGGCATCACGCCTTTATCTCTGCCCCCTACGCGGCAAACCCGCGAAACAAATAAAGAAAAAAAAAAAAAAAAAAAAAAAAAGGTATGCCCGAGTGCACGGGTGGACGAATTTGGGATTGTGGGGTCTTATTAAGAATCATTCCACGGATTTATATGCTACTTGTAGTTTCGTTATATAGGTTATAATTGGCACTGCTAAATACTCCAACTATGTTTTTGTCTTCCAACTACAGTGTCTAAGCCAGTGTGGAGCAGATACAGAACCAGCCTCGTACCGAATCGATGGTATCCTGCGGAATCTACTTTCTCTGTGGAAGAAAATCATTGGGTAAGTTTGGCGACTTTTTGTCCTGCCCAAACTATCTATATTTTCCGAGTACCCGACCTTTACCCTTTCGTACCCTGCTATGTTTGGTATCCCTAAATTCAGACTAGTTAGAGTCAAGCCGGCATATGAAGGCAATGCCAAGACCAACAATCAAATACACCGGCGTTTTTCAGCACCGTGATGTCACTGGCAGAGAGGCAGGCAGGCAGGCAGGCTTGCAGGTCGAGCAGGCAGTCTGGAAAACGGAGCACGCCGATCGTCTGTTCCATGCTGTTGCACGACGGCTGGAGCAAACTTCCAAAGCACACATTTGACACCATCAAACTATTTGTAATTAGTTGGGAACAAATTATATAGACCAAAAAGTGAACACCCTGCTTGCCGCTAGCATCACTTGTTTTATTGCTGCAAGTAGTAACTATTAAATTGAGAAGATAACAAAAAAAAAAAAAAAAACAAAGACGAAGGTGGTAAAGGTTAAAAGTCAAAATGCAAGAATTATGCGAAAACGTTACTTTGGTTACATGGGTTTCTAGATCACGGATGTTTGTAGTTTTGTAGACAATTTTGAGGCAAATCGTCATAGGCAGACTTAGAAGTTTGCAGCCTAAACAACCAACAAAAAGATTTTAACTGTAGCGGCGCGTGGGCCTATCGCAAAGTCCATATTTATCTCTCGACTTTACTCGGACACACCCGAGGACGACATCGCTGACCTTTGAGTGCCGTGGTGACTGGCAATGGACTGACCTGTACCAGTATAAAAAGAAAGTATTGATAGTATGCGTCTTTTCACGTTTGTCTGAGCGCCGTAAGTTTTAAGCTCATCAACGACATATCGGTGTGGCCTGTAAGCTCACTGTTGCATCGTTTCCGCGGTATCCCAAGAGACGACGACCAGGCACATACACATGATGAGGGAAAAGGTGACTTTTTGTTATCAGAATGATCGTGGCTTGCGGATGAAGTCAAATTAGTTTTTGGATGGTGTCGTGAACTCAAACTTTGATGTATACTGTTGCCGAAACCTGGCTTCATGATGACATTGCTTTCCTAAATTATTTTCCGGTGGCCTACAATGTGTTTCATAGCGACAGAGACTACGAAGCCGTTGGTCAGGGCAATAATGGAGGAGTTTTGATTGCTGTGAACGATGAAATTCCGGCTCTACGCCGTTTTGATTAAAACACAATTATAGCGAGTGTGCCTGGATACAAATTAAGGTCAAGGTGGCAAGCATTAGTTAGAAGAAAACTACTATTTGCCTATTTCTATGTCTAGTGTCGAGTTCGGTGCCGTTCTCGTTGACTTATCGAGCAAGCGTAATCGTGAAAAGTACGAAAACGTAATGTTTGAATATCTGAATGTTCCTGGAACATGGTGAGCACTGAGGGACGCATCAGAAGCACCGATCAAGGCGTTGCACCTCGTTAACTTCTTCAATTTCAATGGGTTCGAGCTGGGTAATCTACCGGCAAATCCCCGCGGGAATGTACTGGGCGTGTATTTTAATAACATGATGGAATATTTAATTGTGCCAGTCACCGACTCTCCTTAGTTCTGTGTTCCGTAATCCTTCATGCCATTTTGTAGTGTACAGAAGCCTTATTTTGCTTAAATCAGACTTTGCGTCAAATGTCTAGTACACAGCCTTGGTGTCCCAACTGCAGCGACGTTAGAGCGTGTCCGAAAACGGTTTGCACGAATTAACGTTTCACGCGAGACGAAATCTGCCCGAGCCCTACTCGCATGGGAACGTGCTCAGTCGCTTAGGACTGGTCCAGTCAAAAACAAGACGCGGTAAATGTAACCTCATGTTATACTTTAAGTGTTTGCATATGTATTATGAGAGCAAGTTTATTGTGTCTCACATCAATCCTAATGCTCCTAATATTAACGTTTGCAACAACCGCACGTTTGCCGTTAGTCCCGCGCATTGTTCGTCTCTGATAGTTCGTAAAGAGAACTATTTTCGTCATCTTGAAGCATGTCTTGACCTTTTTATTGATGACATCCGGGGGTTCAAAAGAAGTGTCGGCCATCTGATATAGATTGTCGCCATCGGGTCGAGTTCTGGATTTGCTTTGTTGCTTGTTTACCTTTCGAAACTGACTTGGTGCTCTACAGTTTTAGGCTCCTGGCTGTTGGTAGGCACTGTAAAAAATAAAGATAACTAAATAAATAAATAAATAAAAAAAAACACTCCGCATGGTCACTGACCATGTGGAGCTGGGGTTGGAGGGAAGTGGCACAGTCTGGAGTTCAAAATTTCACAAGTAGGTAGATTTGGAGCTACAAATCGCAAATTAGCTAAATTGTGGAGCTAGATTAAAAAAAAGGAAGCTAATTATTTTGGGGCAGCTTCAAATTGGCCGTTCCCAAAATTCTGCCGCCCTAGGCTGCTGTTTATTCTGACTACTGCTAATTCCGCCGCTGCAAATCGGAAAGCATAAAAAAATAAAATGCTGGAGTATTTTTTTTAATTTTTAATTTCATTTGTTTTTCGGAGAAAATTTGCGTAGTGGGTGAGAGATAAAGGCATGATGCCTGACAAAGCCTCTGCCCCCCTACAGTTTAGTTGTACAAAGAACAATAACTAACATCATGCGAAAAACACGCGCGAAAAATAAAACGAAACAAGGCATATCGACATAAACCATCGATTACAGTAATAAAGTGGAGCGCCCCCATGAACAATGAAAGATAAAAAATAGATACAGTTTACACCAGCTATTAAAAATATTCTTTTGCTTCTGATGTATATTATGAAAGACTGCTTCATCATCGTTCTGACATGAAGCATGCAATCCGCACCATTTCAACAGAAAGTGGGTACAGTTAAAGGTTCACAAAAATAGTAATTAGATAAGTACCACTTGTCCCCACAATATCGATTTCACAAATAAAACTCCTATTATACAAAAAAAGCCATATCACCTGTCACCAGCATCCTTCTGCAATGGTTTTCGAATCTATAAAATGACTGATCATGTTTATGTTTATCTATGCTCTGTTTAGAATTTTTGTTATTTGGAAAGTTGAAACTTGTCGACTATAGTTTGTGCTTATAAATGACATTTTTCGGCTTTGTATCTCCAAACGTGTACGGAATCAGTCTATATATTGATATGGAGTAAACTCTGTTTCTATGTATTCATTGGAAGAGTTTAACAAAAGAAATCTGATCTACCTTCCGCATATTATATCTGGTAAAAAGTGGCTGTGTCCCTAGATTTCTTCTATCCCCTCTGTAATTTTCACATTTATGTAGGATTTTGTTTTTAAGGTAGATTAGTTTATTGTAGTTCGCAGATGTAGTTGTTCCCCAAACCATGATGGTATAGTTGTTCTTGAAGGAAAATAGAGAGTAGTATAATGTCTGTTGAAGCCAGGTAGATAGTAGGTGTTGCATTCTACAGATGCTTCCAGCAACTTGGGATAAGTTAGCTATGAGTTGATTAACATGTATATTTCATGACAGGTCCTCTGTAAACCATACATCCAAAATTGTTTTGTTCTGTTACTCGTTCCAGTAGGGTACCTTCAAATGTTATCTTGATAGTGCCGTCATCACTTTTATTTATTGGCTTATATATTGAATACACTTAATTTTACTTAAATTTAACCTAAATAAATGTATTTTTAACCATTTAGAAAGTTATCAATGCATTCATCAGCTAATTTTTGCAAACGCTTTTTTTTTCTCACAAAAAAAAAAAAAAAAAAACCCGCGTGTGTCGTGTGCGTACATTATCTTCTGAGGGCACCCTGGTACCTGGATTTTATCATTTACGTACACAAGAAATAGAATCGGCCATAAAATAAAACATTGGGGAAAGCCCTGCTGTATTTTTATTTTGCTAGACGCCGATTCATTTATGCTTATATATTGGCACAGATTTGTGAGGTATGTTTTAATATGTGTTAGTTTTACTCCCCGTACTTTATAGTATTCAAGTTTTTAAGTAAAATATAGTGTTGTACACTATCAAACGCATTTTTAGATCCAAAAACATACCAAGTGTTACTAATTTGCGTTGAATATTTTAAACAACGTTATATTTTATTTAAATGAGTGCGATTTCCACAGACTTGTTTTCCTGGAACTCATGTTGAGCCTAAGATAGGGTGTGAAATGTTTGAAAAAATATTTAACCTAGCATAGATAACATGCTGAAAAATCTTTAAAATATCGGTAGAACTGTTATTTGCCTCTAATTATTAATTATGGATTCTCCGCCCTGGCACGCAGAAATTACTTTTGCTGTTTTAGCTCGTCGGGGAAATAGTCAGACTCCAGCATTTCATTTATAATATATGATAATACGGAACTTAATATGGAGGGGGTATACTTAATCGAAATTTTTTTTTTATGTTCACTAGCGGCTACGTTGTTTTTTAAATTATTATTTATGTTATCTCATTCATGAGGAGTAGTTCGAATGAGCATAATAGACTCCGATTGATTCCTTGATTTAATAGTCATCTTTAATTGTATTTGTTTTCATGCTCTTGCCAATGCTCATGAAATGTCAATTCATTTTGTCGGGGAGTTCTTTCCGTACTACACTTACATTATCGATGATTTCTTCCTTCACATTACTGCGCGTTTGCTCTCTTTTCGTTAAATCATTTGCTGTTTCACATACGTTTTTATGGTCATTGTTAATACGTACAAATGTATTCTGATAATGCTCACCATTTGCTGGTTTTAGGTTAGAATTCAACTTGTTTCTGAATTTTTTGAACTCAACCATTAAGCAGGGATCACGAGGCTGAATGAATGCATGGCACTTGCGGTCTTTCTTTTTTTTTATTCTTTTAAAAAGATCAGTAGTCACCCAGAGTTGTTTAAGTTCTTTAGCTTTGCTTTAATGTCACAGAAAAAAAGCTGCATCATAGCAGCGTTTAATTTTAACCAGGAAGATTCTATGGGTAAACATCGTTTTGTGTTCTTTACAAATGTCTTCCCAGTTTCTTCGTTTGTTTTTGAGGTGTCG